CCAGCTCAGCATTCATTTTGCACTGTATGAGTCAAATGATGCATTGGTTTCTTTGAACAAGTTTAAGTGGTTTCACCAAAAAAAAATAAACACCTAGAAAAAGTTACAACACCTCAAATCAATTTTGAATTCTGCTTTTGGGTGTTGTTATACCATTCACCACTGGCCACCAGAAAAAAATATTGCAGAATTTGCCACTCCTAATTGAAGCCTTGAGAAATGAAATTAAACATTGACGCTTTCTTTTCCAATAAGCTTAAAATTTCATCATTCCATTTTAGTATTTATTTGATTCTGATCACTTTTGACAAGCCATCAACTTAAACCGATTATAGTTACTAGAATCTTGGATGTTGATGCTCCTCTATGTACTTTGTTTTTCTTTTCTTAGAGGGGAAAACAAACAGCATTTAGAAATTTTGGTAATGGGTACCGATGTACACATGTATGCATGTATATATGTTTATGACTGCCAGAGGTCATGATCACTCTTCAATTGTATGTTTGGCATTTAGAAATGAAAACATGTATGATATGATTGATGTGATATCCCATTATAAACAATAAACATTTTTTGACACGATTGAAGTCAATACCTTGGAAATGGTACATTCCATATGATGGATGTGATCATGTTGTTGGAATGTACCATTATACACAGGGGAGCTCATTCAGGGATCTGTCTGACTAGGTGTTACACACTCCCCTGTACCATTACTAGGTCCTATAACTGTATGTATACTGGTGAACTGCTGTGGGCGGCTGCTGGTTTGGTATCACATCCTTCACATGCCTGGCCTTTTACCATTTGTATTCCATAATCACATGATAGCAGGGTGTTATGATGGTCAGGTTACCACAACCTTTGGTTGTCACAATGATCTTTTATAATTGATAATAATTTCATTTAATTGAGATCTGATTTACAAGTGAAATAGATTTTGACATTCGTAATTGATTATAGAAAATAAAGAATGTTATTGATCCTCATAATTGATGATGGGAAAAAATGTCAAATGATGGAACTTGAGAATTTTCTACTTTGCTTTCACTGAATGCTAATTAACCCAGTCATCGAGTAAAGTTGTTATTTTTTGTAAAAATCTGTCTTCAACTTCAAAGATTGATCATTATATAATGAAGAGCAGCATATTACTTGTAATATGAGATCAAATAAAAAAGATTGAAATATTACATTAAAGTGTATGCTATGTGCAAGACTTTGAGGTCTAGAGCGTTGACAGGGATTGAACCCAAGTGAGCTGGTTCAGTCACCGGTTGTCCCTGGTGATCAACTCCTTGTGTATGAGACACCTTTAGTTTGCTGACCCCTATGCAGGATCTTGGTAATGATTAATTGCGGATATTTTTTCTAGTGTTGTATGTTTGTATGTGAAATAAAATAAGAGGTGTTAGATAGGTACCATCCAAGAATTGTCACTGTACTCTAATTATATATATATATATATATATAAATAGAATAAACCAATACATGCTAAGTTGACATTGACTATTTTTTAACACATGAACATTTGAATAATTTGTATCAAAATTGCTTACTTCCTACTTTTAAGTGTGAATTTGCTGATGTTATCATTGGTATTTTGGTGTTCCCAATAAAGTTAATCTGTTCTAATTTAATGCATTGTAGATTTTTCAAATCTTAATTGCATGCCTTGCTTTGGTATATGTATTATATATACAGAATTGATATAAGTTCTCTTTGTCTGATATCACTTGTGTTATGTAATGGATTTCAATGCTATTTCCTGGTATAAGCCGACATGGCTTTATAAGAAGTATTGATTGCTGTGATTAGCTTTACAGGTCCTTGGAGAGTTCATTACAATTTTCCCTAATTTCCATAAAGTTACGAAAATGTCACAAATGTAGTGTTGGATCTACCAAGAGACTACTTTATTATTTTTTTTGAAAAGCCAGAGGAATTGCTGGAAGATAATACATTAAAAAATTCTTAGAGCCTACAGGTACAATATAGTAAATTGGAGATTGACATTTTAATAATTATTTCTTTAAACATTAGATTGGCTATATATTTAAGTAATTAGAAGCAAGACTTTCATAGTTTGGAATTGGTACAGAACAAACATACATGTAAGATGTTTTATGATTCAACATATTTGATCGAGTACTAATATTTTCAATGTTATATTGCCTAAATTCATGTGAAATGTCAATGAAAAAATTAAACAGTGGGTTTGATAGAGAAAAAGAGCATAACAATTTGGTGAATAAAATATTTTTCATTAAAACATGTACATTCTGCAGGAAACATTTGTGATATATATTTTAGTATGTCAGCTGCAACATTGTTACATGTTATTATAAAAAATTAGCATATTTGACCAATAACTAGTTTTGTAAAGAATTTGGAGTACTCCCTTTTATGTTGCACATTGGTGAAGTACATAGTATACAGGTGGTTTGTATCATGTTCCCTTCATTAATGATTCAAACTTAAGATCCTCCTTTCAATAAATATTCTTCAATAAAATTAATTACTGTATATTTTGTTGCTATAATTAGTTTGTCTCAGTGTCAAATATTTGAATGCATTATGAGTTTTACCTTTGATTTTAATGCATTAGGAGTTTTACCTTTGATTTTAATTCATTAGTAGTTTTACCTTTGATTTGAATGCATTATGAGCTCGAGTTTTATCTTTGATTTGAATGCATTATGAGTTTTACCTTTGATTTTAATTCATTATGAGTTTTACCTTTACTTTTAATTCATTAGCCCGAAGTTTTAAATGGTTGATATGAAGGGTTTCTGGTATGAGTAAGGATTATTTGGATGGTTGGATAAACGGGGTTAGATGTTTGTGTTGAGGATTTTTGGATCTGATAAATTATTGTGTAGCTGTCAATTCTTATCATCTGTCAAGTCGAGAAGTCCTCCAACAGATGATAGATGCATGTTCCTGTTGGGTTTGCCTCGGGGCTGTGTGCATGCATATGTAGTACTTGTATGTTCTGTTCACATTACAATCTATGTATATCAACCAAAACTTAATAAATATGGATTTCCCGCAGGCCTCCATTTGTAGTGGTTTGCATCTGTGGCCAATACTATCGGGAAACAATAGAATTCAGGGATCATTTTTGTTCAGGAAAAGGATAAACTTATTCTTGGTAAAATAGAGTGAGTTGAACGTTTAAAGAGATTTTCCATTCCTAATCAATGGAATAAAATGTTCCCTTAAAACGTGTTGGATCGTTTTAAGTTTGATTGGCCAATGACTCCCTCCCCCCAATGATCCCTGAAAATTCTTTATGTTTGTCAAATTGTATTGTTTGTAATTATTTCCCATCTAAATGTTATATGTATGTAGAGTGACACCTGACTAATCAGACCCCTGAGAACTTTGGCATTTTGTCATACACAGCTGTGATCTGGATCACATATGCATTCCCCCTGAAAACTACAGAATAAAATTGCCTATATGTTGTCTAATCCAAAGGGTGTGCTGGACATTTACCATTTAAAGTTTTGATGCAGATTTATGAAGTAATAGCATCATGGTGAATTATTCCAGCCCTAAAGCCTATACATTATTAATGCTGAATTGCGAATGTTGAAGTTTGATGTTTACCAATACCTGAGTATTTGTATATATCATATGTAGCCAGTCTGATTGTACTTGTGATTATGTTGACCATTTCCAGATACAGCAGCTGTGTTACTGATGGTATCTTTATATATACTACATCATTGTACACCAACTGTGTATGCTGTTATGTTAGAAACAAAATATGGAATATTTATAATCATCATGAAATTGTACTGCATAATACTACACTGATTAAGCTATTGGTAATCTATAGATATAAAGCCTCTTCACAGTCAACTTATTTTTGTGTCTCAATAATTTGTAGCCTGGATGTATATTATATGTTTATATTAAGCGAGAATCTCAACTTTTCTACTACAGTAGCCAAGTGAAAATTTGTTCAATGTTAATTTTACTTGTGTATCAAATCCTATAGGTAGTAATAATTGTAAATATAAAGTACATCCTTATTATATGCCTTTTATGATATTTATTGCACCTTTGGTACAAGGAAGGTTTGAAACCTGATGAAACAAAATCTGTGTATTTTACCCCTACTAACCCATGAGCTTGCTGAAAGCTGTACTCTAGTTGACTATACTTGGGTTCACACATATGCTTGTACTACAGGTAAATTATGCAGCAGTGCCACCTTGACAGACCTGGTTTATGAGCTGGTACAATGGTGTGACCAGGTTTCCTGGTAATCTTATCTAGGCTAACTGTACACCCCCATAAATACTTTAACACCATCACATCAAAGTCAAAAAGAAAATGATCAGATAGTGGATAAATGTTTACCATTGTTTATAGTCCTCTCATTTTTGTATTAAACCTCAGACAGACTTATTGCAACAGAATATTTATTTTTACAGTGATTAATATCAATTAAAAAAATAGATCTTATATAATATCCAATTGTGGGCATTAATTTTTCTCCCCCTTCCAAGAATATAAAAAAATTGACTAACTGTGAAGTGTAATATCTAACAGTAAACTCATGATTAACATGATATAGATTGTAGGGAAATTAAAATAGGCCAAAAATCCAAAAGAGGAAATATGCCTTAATCTTTGAAAAGTTTCCTTTAGTATGGATGAAAGAATTTGTGACCTTATTTGCCATGGAGCGTCCGATGGCTGTTGAATTCAATTATTTTTTCAGGCTACTATACTACAAAACTTTGTAATAGAATCGTGGTCAATATGCTTTGAAATATTGAAATAACGGACAAAATTTCTTTGTTATTTATAACATAGCCCATGTCTTATTGACTTTTAGAAGAAGAAATGTGTAAATATGAAATGTTGTAGACAAATATAACTGCTATGTGCATGTGTCAAAGTACATGTAATTTATTTGAGTCTATTGTAATTTGTTGGTCTGCTGAATATGTACTGACAGGTTTAGTTTATATATTTGCAGTCGTGCAGACTATGCCAGAATGAAGGAGGCAAAAGAGCAGGCTCAGAGACACCGGGAAGCTCAAGCTCGTTCCTCAAAAATGGCTGCCAAACCCAATGACACGTACAGGGAATGTTCAAACCTCTTTCCGCAACAGCCACGCAAAGTAAGTTGTATTAAACCAGACTTGTCAGTTTAAGTACTATATTGTCCCAATGCTTATTTTGTAATGTTGGAAAAAATAACATTTCAGATATTGGCAATACTGTTTTTTTCTGATGCAAAGCTAAGGTGAAAGATAAGTTAAAGTGGACTTAAATGTCAAATCATTGCAAACTTACATACCAGTGACAAAATCAGAGGATTATTAAGTGTAATGCAATTATTTAATCAGGTCAATTACATTTTATTTCACTTCATTCAGATCTTCAATATTTTTACAGTAATAACATAAAGCTATAAAGTTATATATATGTTGACATATGCTGTATCAGTCTGGTAGACCATGGATATGAATTGTCTCCCACAGGTCATACAAAGGGACTCGGTTGTTGCCAATGCGTTAGGGGACCACGATGATGCCAAACAGTTCTTCAACAGTGCTTTAGGCGTCCACAGCTATTCCTACCCTCAGACACCTCTAACTGAAAAGAAGCGACCCTTTCCTACACAACCCAATGGCAAAACTCATCAAAAAAACCCTCCTAGTGCTAAAAATCTTGCCACAAATGTGGTTCCTGTTAGTGACCCTGAAAGATCTGCACTAGAAAAATCAAAACCATCACCACAAAAATCTGGTAGTAGTGCTTCCAGAGACAAGACTTTGAGAGACGGACAATTGGCGTCTCGGCGATCAAGTGGCGACACCAGCTCTAATCGGTCTGTCTCTCCAGTCAAACCTCCTTCAAACTGTAAAAGTGGTGCTAATTTGACCCCTGACCAATCCAACCATGACCATCAAAACCAGCGAAGTCAAACGTCAACAACCTCCTCATCTTCATCTACTGTACGCAATGAGAGTCCTGTACGCAAGCAAACTAAGCCACCTAATAAACCCCTACCGCAGAAAGGGGGAAGCAACTCCACCACTGAGGTCAAGAAGAGTAAAATTAAGATAGAGGAGGAGAGCAATTCATCAAAACCAAGCAATCAGAATGTTGATGACGCCTTCCCTAGACCTACTGTAAATAACAAGCGAAAACCTCTGAAACTCAAGATTGAGGTAAGTAATCAATCCAAGAACAAGGAAATTTTCTCTGAGAAGTATTGGTTTATAAACATGTTACTGTATTCCTGTGAGAGTTATTGGTATATATTTACATTTGCCCCCGCGCTGTCCCATTACAACAGTGTTAGAGGGCAAGTGTAATTATATAGGCTATAATTACAACTGCTCGACTATAATTACAACTGCCTGTTTCAGGTGTAGGAATATGTAAACAAACAAAATGGCCACCTGAAATGTATTTTGAGGCAGGGCAAATGTTTTTTGTAGGAATATGTCTTAAAAAAGAAAAATATGTAAACATAAAAAATACCTGGTTGTCTGGATGTAATTATTGTTGATATAATTACAAGTGGCCTCTGGCAAATCCACTGAGAGTTATTCAATTGGTTTATAAACATGTTACTGTATTCCTGTGAGAGTTATTGGTTTATAAACATGTTACTGTATCCCTATGAGAGTTTATTAGTTTATAAACATGTTACTGTATCCCTGTGAGAGTTATGGGTTTATAAACATACTGTATCCCTGAGAGAGTTATTGGTTTATAAACATGTTACTGTATCCCTATGAGTGTTTATTAGTTTATAAACATGTTACTGTATCCCTGTGAGAGTTATTGGTTTATAAACATGTTACTGTATCCCTATGAGAGTTATTGGTTTATAAACATGTTACTGTACCCCTGTGAGAGTTATGGGTTTATAAACATGTTACTGTATCTATATGAGAGTTAATTAGTTTATGAACATGTTACTGTATCCCTGTGAGAGTTATGGGTTTATAAACATGTTACTGTATCCCTGTGAGAGTTATGGGTTTATAAACATGTTACTGTACCCCTGTGAGATTTATGGGTTTATAAACATGTTACTGTATCCCTGTGAGAGTTATGGGTTTATAAACATGTTACTGTACTCCTGTGAGAGTTACATTTTACAATGTCTCTTTCTGGGTTACAATTTTAAAAGTGATCCCTGTGAGAGTTATGCGTTTATAAACATGTTACTGTACCCCTGTGAGAGTTACATTTTACAATGTCTCTTTCTGGGTTACAATTTTAAAAGTGATCCCTGTGAGAGTTATGCGTTTATAAACATGTTACTGTACCCCTGTGAGAGTTACATTTTACAATGTCTCTTTCTGGGTTACAATTTTAAGAGTGTTGCCAGTATGATTTGTCTGGATCCTGCAGCTGACACCAATATGTCAGTTAACAAGGGACTGAATAAAGTACTGCTCTATTTGTTTATGTATTTATGAATACATAGGATATAGTTGGACATCTGGTGAAGCGAAAATCTGTTGCTTCTTTTTTTAGCATATCATATAATTATGTGATCAAATCTGTTCAGATTCATCAGTTTCAAATAATAGATATATGGATAGTTTATTTTAAAACAAACACTTGCTGTTTCTGAAGCATCACAGAAATTCCATCCACTGTTTGTGTAAAGATTAACTGCTTTCATCCCTGGTCAAACCTGTTTAAATAGTGTTCTGGAATACGGAAAAGAATTATCTTTTTCAGTTTATTGTTTCTTTTGTTTCAGCATCAGGGACAAGACCCTCATGACGTCGCTGACATCTTACAGGTAAGACTTCAATCCCTTTAGTTCGAACATTTTAAAAAAGAAATTAACAATACTTTTGCTTTGCACTTAAAGAAGGTTAGTGTGTAACAGTTCTTAATTAGATCAAGCCTTTGATTCTCTGGACCGTTATTATTTGTAAGCTCACCTTGTACAAAGTACCACTGTGAGCGTATGTTGCTTCATCTGTTGTCTTTCCATTATCTGCTATCCATCAACTTTTGGGTTAAAACTATCTCCAAAACTACTGGAAAGATTAAACTGAAAGTGATAGAATGCTGAATGCTTAACCCTTGTGGATCAAAGTTATACATTAGGTCTGAAGGTGTCAAATTCGCCAATTTGCTTTAAGTACCATCTTTTCCAAACTACTGTTAAGATTTCAACCAAATTCTAAGTAGCATGCTAAGCTAATAGTGGTCAAAATTTATGCAAATAGAGGTGCTGACCCTCCTGTGCCTTAGGGCTATTGTCAAAATGGTTCAAATTTGACTAACGTCAAAATGATTTGATTTTAACAACATCTCTTTCCAAATAACTGGCTAGGATCTTGTTTCTGTACAGTAATACATTGTGTGTACAGTAACAGTGTTTCTCTCTGTGTATACAGTAGTGTAATAGACATGTCATGATGTACTTAGCTGTAAAACCTGTACAAAGCAACCATGGAATAAGGAATTATGTAGATCATCATACAATGGAGTAGAAACTCTGTAGGTGGACAATTCAAAATATCAAATGTTAAGTCACTTTGTACAGGTAGTGAGCTTCATTCAGGCATGTATTGATGAAATACTGTAAATAGTTCTACTTATTCTTGTCTGTCATCTCTGCCCTCTTTACGATCCTAATTCTAGGATAAAGCCGTTCCATTTCCTCCCCTTTACACCACCTGTTGCATATTAAGCACCAGGTTGTGGTATGTGTGTGCAGTCAAGGATGATGAATTTTGTTGAATTTCTAATCCAGTAGCTTTGTAGTGACTGCTTTCAAAGATATAAATGAAAGGTGTTTTTTCTTCATTAAATGTATGGAGTTCGCATACAGAACCTGCTGATCTTTCAAATTCTTATTGGGAAGAAACTCCATGACAAGTATTAAAATAGACTAAAATCACTCACACTGATGCCTGATCTTGAGGCTTTATTGCTACCTGGATTTTGATCAAACTTCATTTGTTGGTCATATGTGAGAATACTTGAAACGAGTGTTTTAGTCCATGACTCCAAGGTTAAGGTCAAGGTCACTGTTACTACATATTTTTATTGTCATTGCTAAGTAGCTTCAGATTTTGTTAAACTTCATGTATTGGTCATGTGTGACAATACTACAAACAACTTTTTTTTTCATAGTGCAAAGGTCAGGTTCAAGGTTGCCATTAGTATGATTACTATTAATAGAAAATCTTTGTCATTGCTCTTATGAATGAATTCATGCTTAGATTTTGATCAAAACCATATCTTGGTATCTTAGTTTGTATTTTGGAATGAATTATTATTGAGCTTCGTGAATTATTATTGAGCTTCGTGAATTATTATTGAGCTTCGTGAAAAAGTTCCCTGCTGTTACTAGATTAACAAGGTACAGTTAAATATATAATCTTGAACCACATGCAATAGGATTTATATCATTTACGATGCCTTGTTTTGAAATGAATGTTTCCACAATATGTAATCATCTTACATATATCATCATATATAGTCAGTGCTGTTGATCACTCGAGAGAGACTGAAGAAAAATATGGATTTGGTCTAGTCTCCTGTGGTAAATGTAACCGGGTAAAGGTATAAAATACAGTGGTTATTTCTTAGGGAAACCATCAATCAATATTTATTTGAAATGTTACCAGTTTTCTGTAAACCTGATGTTCTGCAAAGACAGATGTTAGAAATACTTCATGCATTGCTTCAGACCTGTACTGTGGTTATTAGTTAATTTTATGTAAAGCAATGATCAGCATGATGAGGGAAACATTTTACATATGACAAACAATGTTTTTAAAGCAATGTACAATGGATGTCTTGTTCTTTGTGAATTTTTTTGAATGTTATCTGGAGTGTGGCTGGGCTTGTATTTAGTAACAGGGATATTGCCTGCGTCTGAGTTATTATTTATCTCACCTGAGCTTACCTGTGTATGGATAGAGAGATAAATCACATGCTGATAAGGCTGACCACAAGGTTATCAATACTGTTTCACAAGACCTTTCTTGTTTACCAGCAATTTACACAAATTCATTATGTAATATCTAAATGATATAAAAACGACTAAACCTGATCATTTCTATACTGTACTGCTTATAATTTCGACAACCTTGTAAATGTAAACAATCTTGCTAGAGCCTCGCATGTCTTTATTACCACCTGGAACACTATTGTTATTTACCTGTAAGCTATTTACATATATATATCATATATCTGTGTACTCTCAACTGGCCCTTGATGACCTGCTTGTGATCCAGTTTTCTGCATGTTTTGAAATTGTATATATATCTATTCATGAATAAGTTACTTTTATGTCTCATTTATTATTTATTTCCTTAGTTGCCAATATTTCAATTAAGAATTTAAATGGACCTCCCTCCCCCATCACACCACACCATACTACACCAACACATTAAATTATTTAACGATGCATGAAGAAGAGTCATTCTAAGCTTGATGCTTAAAAGGTCTTATTGGAGCAACACTTCGTTATTTTACTGAACACTACTGGTCAACAGCAAAAAATCCAATGTTAAAAGAATGAATGAAAATTTCTGACTAAAACATTAATAGATTTTGAAGTCCCAACTGTATTTATCCAAGGTTATTCCCTGAAATTCTAGGAAAGGAAGTACAAGACACTGATCGGTTGATTGGTCACCAGGTAGCAGAGTTATTGTTCCATCCCTGGCAGGATCACTGTAAATAGAGTGGTTCATTTACTTGTCATACACACCTCAGCATATAACAAAAAAACTTGTTAGTAATTATTAGCCTACATTGTTTAAGGACCCCCATACCACTGCCCAAAACTGGAACTATACATTGTGTTCTGGCATGATTATAGCTTCGATGAATTAATTTCTGAAAAGAAAACCATACTGTGTAGAACATTCATGGAAAATTAAATAAAATGTTCTGAGTGTGAAAAAAATTTGAGTAAAGCTAGACTGGGATTTGGAAATTAAGGGGAGGTAACTGTCCGAAAAACCAGAGTGCAGTGGGAAAAGGATCCTTAATATTTTTTATGAATTGTCTTTGTAATGTGTGAGTTTCTTAGTGAATTATGTTGACTTTGAACATTGATGCATCTGTCCAGTCGAAAGATCACCAACACATCATGAACACAAATTTATGCTGTGGAGGAATATTCTGGAGAAATCTTTGAGATAATCTTGAGTTTTATTTTTTTATCTTCGTTTGATTTAAACAAGATATTTTATTTCCAAATGTTACATAACTGTAAAGTGTCATGGAGAAAATTAAAGAAAACTAATAAAAGCAAAATAAAAATGGCCTTGTTTGCGCTCAAACAAAAGACCTTGTATTTTGAACGCTCAATTTTGGTCGCAGAAGTTGTCTTTTAAACGAAACACAACTGGACAACTTCTAAAAGTAATGAAATGGGAAGGAACATCAAGTTAGATTTTTTTAAATCCTGTTTGGTGCCTTTGGAGCAGGTGCTCTTTTTTGTAGATTGTTGAATTATTATCAGAGTAATTCTATTGTTAGAGATACATTTTAAATAAATAAGTGAAATTTAATATTTCATAGCTAAAACAGTTTGATGGGGTAATTCAACTACAAAGTATTTCTAGTGAAACACTTTCGTTATTAAGTGTATTTCCCAAACAGTGCAAATTTTGTATAGTGTTGTGACCAGGTCACACACCTGTAGCAAAATAGTCTTTAGGCTGTACAAAACTTGGGTGATACCAGTAATAAATTGTCCTTGCCTCACTCTTGTCGTCGCCTCACTCTAGTTATGGGAAATAGCAGGTGTTTCCTTCATTGATTTTAAATCAACAAGAGAGTTACCTACATAGAGAAGTGAATTGTACTGCTATTGAGAATGATTAAAAGTATTTAAATGAGATGCAGTCTTAATAAGTGAATCCAATTAAACAGGATTCAGTGTTAACTGAAATGCTGATCAAACGAGATGTGGTCTTAACTCAACTGTAATGTTAAAGATTTGATGAAAACAAGATTCGATCTTGATAGAAATTTTATCATCTGTCCATTTTTGTGGAGTCTTGATGGATGCAGTATTTATCTTGTGCATTCATTCACTGAAAAGATACTGGGGTGTTTCTCCTGCACTTATTCATGTTGGATGATCAAACTTGGTGTACTGGTATTATCCGATGAACCAAAACTGGGACACTACAACTCATATTTTGACCTATAACCTCAGAAAAGCCAAAGTTGACTCTGGTGCATTTTCCCTATACAATTTTGTTAGATCATCAAAACTTAGTGTGTGCATGTAGGAAAGATTGCTTGTCTTGTATCAAATTAAGGCCAGTACAACCTATATTTCCATGCCTAACCTCAATCAAGGAAAACATTTTTCTTTAGTGTTTTTCCTATATACTATTTCATATAACATCATCAAACTTCATAAGTGCAGATACATGCCACACTCTTTATCGGTAAATAAAGTTGTAAGGTTAAATGATCCTTTTTGAAAGCTCGATGATCTAATTTTGATCCTATCTACTGTGATAGTAAAGCAGGGGTATTTACAATGTCAATGATTTTAGATCCATTTAGTGACATGTTGGTAAAGATGTGATCAGAGACCCATTTAGTCTTACATGTTGGTAAAGAAGTGATCAGAAACACATTCAGAGTTACATGTTGGTAAAGAAGTGATCAGAGACCCATTTAGTGTTACATGTTGGTAAAGAAGTGATCAGTTATCCATTTAGTGTTACATGTTGGTAAAGAAGTGATCAGAGACTCATTTAGTGTAATAGTGTTACATGTTGGTAAAGAAGTGATCAGAGACTCATT